TTGAGGTAGCTCTTCACACCACTTTCTCCATTCAGAGGACAAATCTTCAGGTAACGGTTCATCCCAATCTATTTGTGACAACCAAATCTTCTGTATTAAGCACTTTATTCTAACAGTGAAAGGTCCTAAAATTCCAATCGGATCGAATATCCGACCCAACACTTGTAGAAGAAATCGTTTTGTTTCTATTGGTTTAGATGTGAAAGACAATAAGTTCCGAACATCAAAATACAGTAAGTATTTTGAATTATCCCATGCCATACCTAAGACTTTAAATGGGAAATTTTCTCTATTAAAATCTTCAGGATTTTCATCTGGAACGATACCCTGTTTTACCCACAATTCATGTAATTGTCTCGAGTTACTATGCCATTTGTGAAGCTGCATGCTTGCTTCCTTAAATATTTGGACCGATTCTAGACTCGTAGTTAATGCTTCATTGATCGTTGGTTGGCTTCCAATCACATCATCTACATATACGTTCTCATTCAAAAAGTTAACCGTTGTAGGATAAAGTTTATTATAATTTTTCAGATGATGTTTAATGGTAGCGGCTAATAGAAATGGACTACTATTTATTCCGAATAAAACTCTAGTGAACCTATATATGTCAGGAGAAATGGTTTCATCATTAGGGAAATCGGAAAACAGAAACCTGGTTGCGTCTCGATCTTTTTCATGTATGAGAATCTGTAAAAAGGCTTGTTTTATATCTGCGGTGAAGGCTATTAGATTATACCGAAATCTTAACAATATTTCGAATATTTCAGGGTATAAATTTGGCCCAACATGTAGACAGTCATTTAAAGAAATGGATCCTGGGGCATGCGATGATGCATCATAAACAATACGTAATTTACTTGTAGCTCGATCCTCGCGTATAACTTCCCTATGTGGCAAGTAAAACACGACATCCTCTTCATTTGAAATTTCTGAAACTGGTTCGATAATATTTTGATTTTAACTGATCTCTTAATACGTTCCTGTATTCGGAAAATAGATTAGGATCTTTTTTAAATCGTTTTCTAAGTCGATGAAATCTTTGTTCTGCGATTTCCCTATTATTATTTAGATTTGATGTGTCATGTTTCCAAGGCAATCTAACTTTATAGCGAGAATTTTCATATGTTATATTTGATTCGAAATATTCGACGACTTCATTTTCAGTTGAATCGAAGTTTTCCCTCTTATCAATAAGTCCTGAGTTTTCCAAGTCCCAAAATTTTGTTATTTGTTTGGAAATCAAATCTTCCCCTACAACTACATTGAAAGCTAAAGAGACATCATCATCACCTTTTCGTCCATGTAGGCACCAGCCGAAAATAGTTTCCACTGCAACAAGATTTTGCTTAAGCATTTAACGTGTCCCATTACTATGTTGTAATAATAATCTGCACCAATTAGAATGGCAATGGGTTTTTTACAATCGGGAAAATCTGCGAGCAGCAAATTTTTTAATTGTCTGTTTTGCTTAATTTCTTCTGATTTAGGAGGTGGAATATCTGTACCTGATATATGATCAGTTACTAATAATTCAACTTCTATTCTAGAATCGGGAGAACTTCTATGTTCTAAAGTTAATTTAACTACGTCATAATTTTTTTGGATGGGAGAAGTATTCCCAAAAGTGTAGACAGTCAATTTTTCTTTTCTTATGACTTCGAGGTTTAATCTGTCCGCTAACTCGCGAGCACAAAAACTTTTCATACTTCCACTATCCAAGAGAAGTCTGGCAAACACCTTTTCCTTAGCTGTTTTAACTTTTATCGTGCAAGTCTGTAAAAGAATTGTATTATTTGCATTATGTGAAACGGCCGAAACAATTTCTTCTTTCTGTTCCTTAGTTTGTGTATCATTTTTCGAAATTGATATACTATCCTTTTTATCACTTGGTGTATTTTTAACTATCGAAACTGGATTTAAAACATATGGCTTCTGAATGTTTACCTTTGCAAATTTTACAAACTTTAGTTTGGCGTTGTCGGCACTGTGAGATTTTGTGTTTAGGGGCCAAACAAAGAAAACAACGCGCTTGTTTTTTCAAAATATCTCTCTTTCATTAACTGTAAGGCATAAACAGGACTCTGAGTCATGGTTTTGAAAACAAAAAATGCAGTTTCGATTTGATGACGCGGCTGCCATAAATTCATGTGTGGTGACAGTTTGTTTATGTTTCGGCGTCGGTGGATATCTGTTAATACCTTTCATTTCCGGGTTTTGACTTGCGTGGAAAGGATAACGAATTAATCTTTTCTCGCGATTCTATTTCTAATCGGAGAAAGTCTAGAAATTTGTTTAAATCATAGGTTGAAGGATTTTCAGTATTTGTACGATGAAATTCTAAAGTTATATCGTTCGGGACAATTTTCATCAAAATTGGAATAAACATGTTGGAATATGTTTCTGGTTTCACACCGAATGCTAAAAGGCTTCTGACTTGAACGTTAATTGTATCATAAAGTTTTCGCAATTTTGCCACTTCACTTGAACTTTGAACGGGATTTAAATTTAAGAGATTAGAAATGTGTGTATTGATAATAAGGTCACTTTGACCGAATCTATTTTTAAGAATGTCTATAGCAGAGTCATAATTAGCCTCTGAGATTGAGAGACCTTCTATGGCTGATGCTGCGTTTCCACATAAATAAGTTCTCAAATAATTAAATTTTTCTATCTTCGAAAGTGTAACATTGTCATGAATAGTGACCTTGAATGAATTCCAAAAATTCATCCAATCGTTATAATCTCCGGAAAATTTGTGAATTAAGAGTTTGGGCAATTTCACATTGCCTTCAATCTGTCTTTTGGTTTCAACTTCTGTAGATGAATTATTTAAATTCGTGTTGATATTTTGAGTATTGTATTTCCTTAAATAACGGTTGATTTTAGACTTTATTATTTTATCTTTTAATTATTAGACTTTATTTCTTTATTATTATTATTTTATCGTTATATTCCATAGAAGTGTTAATATCTGAATCTAATTTTGATTCATCTTCAATCAAATTTTGTATTTTTTCATTTAAATCATGTAGTTTCGTTTCTTTACTATTTAACAATTCCAAACAATTTTCTAACTCTTCTTGATTTTCTTCTTTTAAATACTCATCTACATTTTTAATAATTTGAGTTACAGAAGCACGTATATGTGCTCGATTCTTAATTAGTGTCTTCTGTTCCATTTTAATAAATTATCAAAGGAGACTTACCGTGAGAAGTCTTCGCTTACAAAGCTAATCCAAAAGGCGAAAAACACAAATTTTCAAATTAATCAGATTCTTTTCTGGAGCCGATGCACCATTATGTAACGAAAGTTCTAGATCAAAGTCGAATCACTCATAATCCAAAAGACGAGATGCATGGCCTGGAGGGTTTTCCATAAATTTTAATTAAGCTTAATATTTACATATATACAATGTAGGCTAAAATGCCTGAATCGAATATTTAATACTCAAAAGGCAAGAACTGAATAGTTCCAGCTAAAATCTCAATCGAATTCTATTGCGTAGTGCATCGAAATTCTACCTTCAAGAAGAAGAATATTTTTTCAAGTCACGTGTTCAGAAGGGGAAAGGTTAAGTAAGCCAATAGATGGACTCCTAACGCCATCTCTTGGCGATATCAAAGAATATTCCTTAACACCTCAAAGCTCTAAACGCGAGCTTTTAAAACCTAACAAATTTGCGTCTGCGCCGCTCTTCGGTACAAAGAAAGGAATACAATTTGCATAACATCGAACACAATGTTTTCAAGAAATCAGTGTGTAAGTTGCGTCTTATTACAGAGAGCAACGTGCCCTTTTATTCTGCTGACGTAAATAAAAAATTGCATTCTGGAAACAGCAGGATTATTTTGAAGAACTGATAGTGTAATTAAAAACTTACCCTATCATCATCATCACCATCATCATCATCATCACCATCATCATCATCATCATACATCTTATTAAAAGATTTGAAGATTCAGATTTTATTAACTTTTGTCAAAAAATAAATAAACTCAGTTGAGAAAGTTTGCAGTAAGATTAATCGCTTTATTTAGAAATACTTTTGTACGTGAACAGCTTTTTTTCACAGTTGAAAATGAATGAGAAACGATCCCGATTGACCGATGATTATGATGTAACTAGAAATTATTTGCATCCTTGATGTAAATAATTTCTAGTAATTTCTCTCCAAGGCATTTTATCAGAATGGAAACGACATCAAGTACGAAGCTGCACTTGAAAAAAAAAAAAAAAAAAAAAAAAATGTAAATAAATAAGAGAAGGTGACTAAATTGTTATTCTCAAATGTTGTCCAACATGGTAAATTTTCTCTGGAAACTTAAAAAGTTTTCAAAACTGTTTATTTTCAATTTAAATTAAAGTATGTTATTTATAATTAAACGTGTTAGAATTTTTGAAAGAAAAGTCAGTCTAAGTATTTAAATATTTATTTTATATATAAATTTTTAATTTCGGAATATAAATTTTTATCAGTATATTTGAATGGCAAATTGTAACCAAAAATGTACCGAATTTTAGATTTCAGATAACAATATAAAAGCGATTTGCGATATCATTACTGTTGTTTATGTATGTTGTGATAAATATTTAGTAAGCGAAAGTTTATAACTTAGTTAAAATAATTTTTATTTTGTAATTAAAATTCTTCATTTTGCTAAAAAAAGGGAGAAAAAAAGAAAAAGAACAAATTCTAGCCGGACAGCTGTTTTCAAATTTCGCATGCAGTTTAAATCGTAATGATAATATCGGGAACACCAGAAGATAAATATTTACGTCAGATTAAATCTGTCTTGTTAAAAAGTGGTTTGGATACATTCCATGAGCAAACCGGGACTTAGACAAGGTTGAAATGGAGAATAATACCTATCAGCGCAACGATTTGCTCGGTATGTTACCTACATCAAACCACGTGCGGGTGTTGAAAGTGACGTAACACAAACTCACGTGCGCCGTTTGCGACAGCGGCGGTATTTTCGCACTCCGCCAGCCACTCAGCGCGCTCTTGGCGGTGAGAAAAGCGCAGGTCTAAGTCGCACAGATCCTCTTCGAGTAAGGTGCTCGGTTATCGCGTGTGTGCGGACTCGCTTCTTATCTCTGCTCCGCAAGAAGTAAAAAGCTGTTGCTTCTCCCTTCACAGCTGATATCTAAGGAGTCGGCGAGGTCACGCATTGTTTACCAGTTTCTCTGCCAATCGCCCCGAATGACGCCTCACAGATTGCACACTGCTATCGGAGGCCAGAACATCCCCAGTCGCTTGAACCGAAGCCAGAAAGGAGCGACCTAGGCAGTTTACACGCAATGCTCACCTACAAGCTGGGAAATAGAGAAAGAAAATTTATTGAATAAAGCAACGAAAAAAAAAGTAGACAAGTTATAGTGAACCTTGATCACATGCTCCTCATTGCAACTGACCGCCAAAGTTATTTGAAGAACTTTGATATTCGCGCAACAAGTCTTGGCTGTTCCTCTACCCCAGGTTTTTGTTTATATTTATGTTCTGTGGCTTATTTATTGGTACAGATTAGATCATTTGGGTTTAAGAGATACTGTTTTCTAGTGTGCTTTTATTACTTGCGAGGTGACTTCTCGTACTTCTACGGCAACACGTTTTTAAAATGTGAAAACTTAATTTGTGCCATTCTAGTCAGTTGAAGATTCTTCCTAATACCTTTGAAGTTTATTTTCATTTTAAAGTTGTGCCATTATGTTAAAAAGTATATGTGGAAATATTTAAAAATATTACTGCAACTGTAAGAAATTTTCATCCAAAAACTGCCGTGAAATTGTTAATGGAACTATGGAGGATTGCTTGGTCTTTTTTTAACGTAACTGTTCCAGTTTCCTTAAATATCTTAAAAGTAAACGGAATTATTTTTTGTTAGTCTACAATATTATCACATATAGATAATTTTAATACCATCTTATGAATATTGCAATAAAAGTAACCGAATATTACGAGTACATATCTTACGAACTGTGATTTCGTTAAAATTACATTTTAATTTTGTGATAAAAAGTAGAATGTATCTCTTTTAATAACATCTGCCTGAATTTCTTTTGCCAAATTTGTGTCCACTTTACTTAGTAAGCGTATATTTACTACAGTTTTATCACATTTTTGCAGAAAGATTCGACATGTCGAAACTAATTTTTCTATGTCATCTTTAGTTATCTTCAAAAAACCGTGATTTTATATGCAAAATAACAATTTCGTACCTGAATTAAAATATTTAGAATTTTTATTGGAATCTCACTGAAACAGAGTACTAGAACAGCATCTAAACTATATACTTTCAAGTTCGAAGAAATTAATTTCTTTAACTCGATAAGAATAGTTTGGAAGACATTCCGCCGCTATGTGCTCAAGATTCATATTAAAAGGACCGTGTGCTCATGAAATAAAGAAATAAGTTTATAGAGTAATCGTCATAAAAAATCCGTATCTGAAACATGCATTCCGAATCGTCTAGCCATGCTTCATCAGCATTCCCAGACTTGTATGTTACAAAGCGCATTCAACAAACAGTTAGTATTTGGATTAGCTTCCTTTTTCTTGCAACAACCTGTATGAGCAATGTTCAGAACACTACGCTTACAGTCGGATACCTAGCCAATATCCATGGGAAACAGCGACAAGGGCATATCATCAGTGGTGCGATGACATATGCCATCAAAAATGTCAACGAACAGCATGTACTCCCTCAGAACTACAGTCTGAAATTTGTGTACCAAGATACGAAAGGGGAGACACTAGCTGGTACGAATGCCGTCATTAATATGTGGCGGGATGATATCATTGCATTCTTCGGACCCGAGAACTCATGTGAAGTTGAAGCTACTGTGTCTGCTTCGCTCAATTTGCCCATGATATCGTACGTAAGTAGCTTTTGATTAATTTCAAGACCATTGATTCATATTATTTTTATTCAATAGACATTCAGGGACACACTAGTAATGGTAACTTAGCTTTAGGATTTCGGTTCATTCGTAATTATTTAATGTCATGATACAGGACAGTCAAAGCTCTGGTAAATACTACCCAACGATATACAAAAATGAGTAATATGTGCGTTAAGTAAATTCATGAGAAAGTAATTATTAAGAACTGGTGATTATTATAATTTGATGAAATATTTTGTTCTAGTAATATATATATATATATTATATATTTATACCTTTCTGATAATTCTAGAAGTTGCATCTTGGATACTGAATTCGCAGTAGCAATCATAAGTTGAATGGATAAAATCAGTTCTGCTAAGGGCCTTGCTTATTATGCTTTGCTTATCATATCAGTAATGCATGAAACGTAAATAAATGTAATTTTCTCATTTCAAGTAGCAAACTTTGCATCAGATTATCAGAATTAGACAGCTGTGTGTGTCATACCTTCTTTTAATTGCATTTTGTTTATTTGTGCGCCTTAAATAATTTTATGAAACCGAATGTGTTGAGAAGAGGTGCTTAAAAGGAGTTCTCAAAAGTTAAGAAAATATATTTTAGTTTAACCGTAATGCAAGGTATGAGCTACTTGAAATTCCTGTTAAAACACATATTATTTACAGTTAAAACACAGTTCATTAAAGGTTTCCTATTAAAACACAGTTTTCCTGCTTAAACACGGTTATTGCTTAGTTTAAAACGTGAATGAATGTAATGAAAAATTATAAACTATTGACAAAACTAAGAATCGTTTTTAAAAATATCCATACAGTGGAATCCCGCTGATCCGAAATAATTGGAATGGAAGCATTTCTGACATCAAATAGTTTTTGTATTGGGGGGGGGGAAGAAGATAGGTTTCTTCGTGACCAAACTTTTTTCTGAAAAGAATGGAAAAGATCTATATTTTAAATAAAAGTTTGGAGAATAATAGTGGTTTTGAATACATTTGTATGAATGCATGCAATGTTTCAGTTTTAAACATTTTATTTTCATTTATAATATATTACTCTGCATCCATACCTACAATAGCAGTTGTAAATATTTTTAAATTATTAAGCAACTATTCCGTAGAGGAAGTTGGAACGCATGTCGGAAATTAACAATGCTGTTAATTAAACGCATGAATATTTAGAAAAATAAAATAAAATAGATTTCGCGAAATTTTATTTTATTTTATAATATCTCGTATAATTAGTTCAGATTGAGAGTTTCAGAAATGCTTTCCAAGAATATTGTCACGTCAGTTATAATCCACTGATGAATATTTTCTTGAATGACGAAAATTCAGTGAAAGACGTAAAGATGTTTTTAATAATGCTGTGCAGTGGTCTGAAACTGGCTGCCGGCAGGACGCATCCGGCTCTCGAAGCAATTTTATGCGGCTCCGGAATGCATTTGTTGTAAATACGGTCTCGCAACGATTTCTAGATTTCAATTATTATGTCCGGGTTTACATTATTTTCATATTTGTAATTTAAATTGAAGTAAGTTATTTAATAATTAATTCAACAGTCACAGTTATCTGAAAAAATATCAGTGTAAAAATTTAATATTAAGTTGTCAATATACTTGAACTGCAAAGTGTAACCAACAAAAGGCCTTGCAGGTACCAAACTTCAGATTTCACGTAGAAGATAAATACAAACTTGAAGTCTCTTCATTATTACTATGCGCATTTTGAAAAATATTTAGTTAGCAAAATTTAAAATTTAGTTATTTTTCGGAAAAAAAATTTCATTTTGCTATTAATAATAATCGGCTGTTTACAGATCGTGCATTCGGCCACATATGCAATATGAGTTTGAGACAGCTGATTGCTGCATTGTATTTTATGATTCTTGAGGGTTTTTTTTTTTTTTTTTTTTTTTTTCGGTAAGTTGCACACTTTTAGGGATTTGATGTAGAGCAAAATAAATTTTAATTGGCTTAATACATTAGTGAATGTAGATAATTTCAAAATCTTTTGAACAAAAATTTAACTGTACATTTTTACTTCATTGTACGAAGTAAAGGAAATATTGTAATCAGAAAAAATTCCGGGTAACATATTTCAACGAAAATATCTATTTTGACCGCTATCGAATGTGATTTAACGATGTTTTTACGTAGGGACAGAATAAAGCACTCTTTTTCTCCAAAAGAATTATAAAACTGATTTAAAATGTATTCAGAAGAGATTTTTTTCGTGGCGTCTGTACGTACGTATGTATCTCGCATAACTCAAAAACGAATAGCCTCAGAACGTTGGAAATTTTGTATGTGGGACTGCTATAACATGTAGATGTGCACCTCCCTTTTCGGTTGCAATCGGCCGCGCCAAAAATATATAAATATATATATATCCACTCTGTTACTCGGCTCAGTGAGCTCAGTTTCTTTACTCTTATATTTTTGTAAATTGTGCATTTTTGGCTTAAAAATGATTGAATTATGTTATTCTTATCTTCCGGTTAGGGGGTTTTATGCCTTTAGTTTGTAGATACATTAGGTAATTTGGAAGCAGGCAAGATGAAAAATGAGCAATCGCCTTCGCTGGGAATCGAAACACGGACCTCTGGAATACCGACTCAGCGTGCAGAACCACTATACAACGAAGGCATGCTAGGAACCTGGGAGTAATACCTTATGTATTCCTCCTTTAAAAGGGCGACTGGGGTTTTTTATTGAACCCAATCGCCAAATCCTGGATGAGGAGAATCATCATCCAAAACCTTTTAGTTCGGGCGCTACTGTAGAGACATTAAGTATTTGTTTGGAAGCAGGCAAGATGAAAAATGAGCAGTCGCCTTCGCCGGGAACCGAACCACGGATCTATGGAACACCGGCCTAGCGAGCAGAACCACTACACCACGAAGGTACCCAAGGAAAGCAGGAGAAATACCTTATAAGTTAACCTGCATGTTATAGTTGTAGAATTATCAACAATTTAAAAGTTGTTTAAGTGCGGCTAAGCCTAATTTCTTGACCACAGCTGCCATATTTGTTTGCATTTGAAGCTTAGCAAAATAATGGATTTGTTGTCAGTCTAGAGAAACTAAACTTCGCAACAACAAAGTAAGGTCTTCTTTTATTATTTCAAATTAAATATGCTTAACCCATTCTGGAATTATCATTCAAGTGATTAAATTAGCCCATATATTGACTCAGGATAACGTCCAAACAAATTCAGTTTCTACGACTTCAGTGTCTTTTTGCCGAGTGATATCAAAAGTAAGCTTTCAGCTTTGTGCACCGAAAAATATGCCTTCTTGCCCGCTGGCCGAATGTTTTTGCGTAGAAACTATAATTTTGAGTGTATTTTTTTAAAATTCTTTTAGCTGTATTTGGTGTTTTATTTGGTTATTATTCTTTTATCTGTATTTGGTATTTTCTATATCTTTCAATTTTTAATATAGATATTTTGAGATTTTATATATTTTTGCCTTGTCGCGAAGTGAGAACTGAATTTAATTGAATGAGAAATATATCTTTATTGAAATTCGAGAAAATAAGCTTAAATAAAATGCAGTAAAAATGCGTATAATTTAATATTCTGTACAAGGAAGTCATGTGGTGTACACTTCAGATTTTGTTATTTGGTTTCCGTGTTTGCCGACGTATAAGACGCGCACTCTTTTTTATACAAATTTTTGAAGGAAAAAATGTTATTACTGATGATTATAATGAATTTACAGTATTTTAAATATAAAGTAATACAAATACAAAGTAATACTATCTGCAAATACCCAATCTATCTGAGAAAGAACACTTTTAATCTTCTACTTCAAAACCTCGATACTTATCTCCAGAGCTAAATAAAGAGTCACTTGATACCTTTTCTAAATCAGAATCTGAATCCTCAAACAACAAATTGTCCTCTGTACCATCCAGTGCATTACTAATGCCTCATTTCTTTAAAGATTTAACGACTGTCTCTTCACAGCTTTGACCTATTGCCAAACTCGCGAAATGTTAGGCCTCTTCGTTTTTCCTGATTGTGTAACCTCAAAATTTGTATGCTATGCTATAGCAATGCCGAAGTTTTTTTGAAGCATAACTTGCCAACAAATTTAAGAAAATTGAATCGTAGAAATTTCACACACTTAAAAGTCTTTCACAAAAACTGGGAAGTTTAAACGAGCCCAGCTGTGATAATCGATGACAGCGAATGCGCATTTTTTAAACCCTGCGAAACTGTGATATTCCCACACTCCGCAAGGAAACAAGAAAAAAAAAATCGCATAACTTCGAATAGAGAAAATTTCCAGAAATGCGTGTAATCAAAAACTGCGTATCGACGTATAAGACGCGCCCCGTTTTTCGGTTCTATTGTCAAAGAAAAAAAGTCCGTTTTATACACCAGCAAATACTGCATTTTTTCACATATTACTAAAATCATCATTTTAGTTGTATGCGCGCTGTTTAATAATTATGCAATGGGGAAAAAACTGGAGATGCCTGATTTATCGACGCACTGATTCGGTGTCATTTTTCGTCATCGTTTTTCTTAAACCAGTTTTGTTATAGCAGAGTTGGTTGAACGGGATTTTGCAATAAATATTTTGGTGATAAACATCTTATCCTTCTTTTAAAGATAGCAATTTAGTATTTATCATATTTTTGTTTAAGCTTAATCTTATATTTTGCTTCTGTTTGAATTTGTTCGCATTTGGAGAATCATTTAATGCAGTGTTTCTTAACCTTTTTGGCAGAATGAACTACTTTAAAAATTTTAAATATGTCACGGACCCCTCTGTGAAAAAAAATTGCTTAAACATAATTTATTACAAAATATATTCTGTTTTATTATTTAATTGTTTTAATATTTTTATTTCAATAGTATAAAAAATTTGAAGAAATTAAAATTTTTAATGTGAAGTCTGTAGCTGCTTTTCCTTGATTAACAGATTGAATTGAGGGATGGTTTTCGACAAAGCAACGCGAATATCATG